CAAATGCCTTCCAGAATGGCCTGCCTACATTTACAGGTAGGGTCGTAGCTAGCTTACGCCTCGGAGCGTTAACCTTGACCCTCCCCCCCCCCCCCCGGGGGAAGCCGGGACTTCCTCATTGTAGTAGCAATCCTGCAGCTTTTATCGTCAGGACGTAAAGTCCATTATCTCACTTTATTAACAATTGAAGATTAAAAAACTTATTGATAAGGGTAATCCCGTTACATTTTGGCCACGATCCGAATCTAAGACTGATTAGTTACAGGCAGTCAGGAAGGAAAATTTTACAAAGCCCATTACAAGCCCGTTGTAGGACCCCCTTCCTCTATATAAGAATATCTAGTCATTGGCTCACTACTATCCCCGCCTAAAGTGCAGGCGCTCGTCACCCTTCTGCTCCGCGCTGGTCGTGAGGCTGCCAGGCGAATGCCGCCCTCTATTGGGGTACATGAGACTAGTGTGTTAAATCTATTGTATAGATACAAACACTACATCGCTTGATTATATAATATACTGGGTTTACCGATTGGTTGATTTATCCAAAGGAAGCGCAGAGTAAGTCAGTAATTTTAAATAAATTATCTTTGACAGCTCGAGGGGCGGACCTAGAGAAGCGTCAAATATGGTCGAGTTTGGATTTAAGTCTTTACACAAAGAAGCTTGTATTGAAGCTTCTCCCAGATCTGTAAGACCTTCAGTAGCTTCCCTTAACTAGATAGAATGCTTTCAAATAGATAAAATTTAGAAACTAGAAACGGGGGCAAGATCCTTTACCTATAAGAGGTTTTAAAAGAGTTTTATTAAATCTGTCACAGGAAAGCACAAAAGTTTGGCTGTCAAGCTATTTTGATAGATTCCTTAAATCAAATTGTTATTTAAATAAATTATTTTATTCCAATAATTTAATTTTTATTGGACACATTATAGCATCGTCATAATATTTATGAACAGGTGATAACAAACACGTCACTCAAGATGGATTCCGGATGTCAACATGGAACAATAATAGAGAGTTTTACCTACCAATAAAACTTACCTATTATTTTTCCTTAAGACATCCGGAATCCAGGTAATTTCTACCTGGTTCATCTCGAGTATGTATAATGAGGTAAGAAATATCAATTTGTTAAAATGTGCAAGTTTTCTCCCGCCAAATTGACATTAGAGGACTGAAGTTGCACCGGAAGGGAGCGAAAACTGGACAAAAAAGGCTAAAAAGACAGGTGCTTGACTCAAGATGGATTCCGGATGTCTTAAGGAAAAATAATAGGTAAGTTTTATTGGTAGGTAAAACTCTCTATTAATAACATTACAGATCGAGAAGATTCGCATCAACATGAAACAGATCCTGGACTCGATCATCATTGAGAGGAGGTACTTACATATAATAAATTAAATACATTACTCAAAAAAATATTAATTCAGTTTACAAACAAGTGTTATATTGACTTGTTTATACTTACTACAAGTTTTCATTACGAGAGTTACAGAGTTCGTTAATTTTGTTGTTCGCGCGATAGTTTACAAACAGATTATGAATAAAGTCAAACGTTCTTTACTGAGTTTGATTAATAAAACTTACACTAGGGTTACAAGACACGATGGCTTAGATTGAGAAGCGACGAAAACGCAATGAACAGAAAGGAGCAGCTTCAAATACTGAATTGTGTTTTATAATAGTAATAATTATAATATACATATATAGTCATTTAAATGAAACTAATAAATATTGGATTTCCCACGACACTTTATTTTTGATATAAACTACATAATCTCGTTATTAATCACATTTCTTGAAATTAAAGACAAATTGACAGACATTCACATCTCGTCTTAATGATCACGGTTGATGTAAAGTAACCGAAACGTCGGGAGTATGTAGTTTTTATCAAAAAGAAATTCACTTAGCATATCGAAAATAATTAGTTTCATTTAAATGAATAAGACTCGCGTAAATCTTAGATCTCTTTATATATGTAAAGTGTATAAACATGATAATATTAACAACTAGTTGAAGTTTAAAACCTCATTATATAGACGTTTTAAATTTAAAAACTATTTAAGTATATGTTTAAGCAGTAATAGCATTAATAAGTAGAACTTATTTTTTAGTTCATCATGCTCGTTTATAAATAGAACTAAATTAATACAAGTTTAAATATTTTAGCATTATAACTAACTCTCCCCTTTACTTTGACTATCTCTTTGTAAATCTCTCGAGAGTACTAACAGTATTATATTGTGTTATATCATACTACCCTCTCTGTAAGATAGACATAAAATCCGTTAAGCCGACCCGATAGATTTTGTGGACAAAGTGGAAAAAAATACTCAAAAGTTGAAAATGGTTATAAGAATTTAATAGGACATATATATAGTATATATATATATATAGGATTTATTACATATTCGTTGTTTTTACAGTCTCGTTGACGTAACTAATGTCACTTCTTTCAGTACGTTCTATGTTATTTTAAAATGAAACTTCAATTGTTCTTAATGCTCCTGTATTTATCGAAGGTTCTTCATAATCACATACTTTAATGATACCCACTCACTGAACTCTGAAGTCTGCCATCGTGCGTCCAGACGTCATATTTATACCAAGATTCAAACATAAGTCTATTCTCTTTTAAACAATCTTTGATCTCGTTTTACTTTTAACAATAATCACGAATACTAATGAGTTTTAATAAGAATTGATTATATATATATATACAGGGTGACTGGTGAATTACTATCGATATTTGAGGACGTGATATTTGACGATCATATATGACAAAATAAAAATTAATATAACATAAATATTAATAAATTTCTAAGTAAAGTTAACCAAAAGTTTTGTAATTAATTACGCATCGTGTGAACACCCTACAGATTAGGTATACACACACACATACACTCGCGCGCGGCGGCGTGCTGATACAACAACACGCCGCCGCGCGCGTCCACACTTGGAACCCTTGGAACGTGTACACACTTTATTTATTTATACGGAAATTTGGTCAAAAATTAAGTACCTATTTTTTTTACATAATTCGAATGAGAATCATGTACCGAGTATGCTCCTTAAATATTGATAGTAATTCACCAGTCACCCTGTATATATATATATATATATATGTATGTATGTATTATTTCCAGGTTCGTCATAGCAGACAGTTAGCTGCCGTACTTCTTCTACTGCTGGTCTAAAAGGGATGGTACAGGTATATACAGCTACAACATATGTATAACAATATGACCAAGAATGATAAACACTGTTTCTCATATACTACATATATCATAACATTTAAACAATATACTAAGCTTATTTCCATGCTTTACCTGGCAAAATATATTAAAATATGTAATCTAAAATCTAACAGAGTACAAGATAAATATAAATATCTTGGAAAATAAGTAATTAAAATATCACGATTTCAAAGAAATATCGTGTTATATTTATCCCTACTTATATTATAAATGCGAAAGTAACTCTGTCTGTCTGTTACGCTTTCACGCCTAAACCACTGAACTGATTTTAATGAAATTTGGTACAGAGATAGAGTTAACCTTGAGAAATAACATAAGATAGTTTTCATCCCAGACATTTGAAAGGTTCTCTTGGAAACGTGATATAACCGAACTCCACGCGGGCTAAGCTGCGGGCGGAAAGATGGTATGAAATAATTATAACCGAAACCATTTCATCAACTTCCATATATTTCATAATCGTTTGAACCATCAGTACGTAGAATGGTGTAGGAGTGTGTGTGTCTATAATATTCTCTTTATATTCATCTTCTACCTGGAAATTTCCCAGCTATAGCCAGGGTCTGCCTTACATGTAGTAATAGTTTTGGCTGATAGTTTTTACGACCGGCCGCCTGCCTGACATCAACCCTCTTTGGGAATACATTAATCAGTGATGTCTAAATACTCTTATAAAGTACATATGACTCGGAACATCACATTGGTACTTGCCAGGATCAAACCACTAGGACACCACTGACGTATACTTAAATATATTTTATATCATTATTAAAAGTAATTTAAGACTCACTAGTGAGAGGGTGAGTGTGATGTATACAGGCTGTGTTGTAAGTTGTAACAGTACCTACTAGGAACCTAACTTATATGTATATTATAATAAGAATTATATTCTATATCTAAGACAACATTGATTCACTTGTATAAAACTCTCTGTGCGAGGTGACTAAAGCGACCTTAGCGTTTATTTATTTATTTTTATTTAAAATCTTTATTGTCTAACTACACACGTAGATACAAAAGGTGGACTTAATGCCTGAAGGCATTCTCTCCCAGTCAACCCTTAGGCAAAGCAGAAAGACATGAAGACGGTAGTATGTAAAAGTAAAACTATACATATTAATTTCTATTGATATATACATAATATATACACATATATATAGATACATATACATACACATACATATACATACATACCTTAGCGTTTCTTACTAAACCGTTTTTTTTTTTGGACCTGGAGTTTGTTTTACGGGTGCAAAAATTAAATAACTGGCCCGATCTAAATATTTTTTTCATAAAACCTCCACATATAACAGTTCTATTAAACATAAAAACATCGTCTCGATTATACATTTAATTGCCAAGATCATCTCAATATAATGATCTGAACCGCCAGTATATTAACGTACACTCCACTCACTTTATCTAATAAAAACCCCTAGTATTATAAACTTAGTTTAGTGTAATCATTGTAGCTGCATGTTATACATAAGGAGGATTATAGGATGAGGAAGGATCATACGGATATAGAATAGGAATATATTTAAAAAATGTCCATCGGTTCGTAAACACCTCCTAAATATATACGGTAAAATCTGGTCAGGGAAGCAAATCCCGGAGTGCTTCGGGAAAGCAATTTTTGTCCTCATTCCCAAAAAAGATATAGTTACTGATCCGAATGATACTAGACCGATAGCTTTAACAAAAATACTATATCGAAAATCTTTTTCTCGGTTCTACAAACGAGAATGACGCGATTCATGCTCAGCAACAACTATTTTAGGCCAAATCACCAGAAAGGGTTTTTACCCGGGATTTCTGGATGCCTAGAACACAACACCTTGCTGTCGGAGAGTTTGAAAGATGCTAGGAAAAGCGAGCGGCAAATCACTGTTTGTTGGATAGACTTGGAGAACGCGTTCGGGTCGATACAACACGAATTGATGCTATTCGCGCTCAGATGGTACAACTTTCCACCCCTAGTTAGAGATATGATCGCGTCGTATTACTCAAAATTAAGGTTTTCTATAATAACTAAAGAAGGCCCTTCAAAAGGTTTGAGTTATAATGTAGGACTGTTTCAAGGTTGTTGTCTATCTCCAATTACGTTTAATATCGTTATTAACATCTTAGTAGACAAATTAATCTGTAACGAGAAAAAATGGGGTTATCGGTTTAAGTTTAATAATAAATACACGGAATCCATTTTAGCCTTCGCTGACGATCTCGCAATACTGACACGTAACCCCAAACACTGTCAAGTACTATTGGATGAAGTGGATAAATTCTGTAAGTGGACGGATGGATTGAGGACAAAACCCAGTAAATGTCATTGTCTGTGTCTTGGTAGGCGGAATACAAGATACACCTCATACGATCCGGGACTATCGTTAGGCGGTCAATGCATTTCTACGGTTACGGAAAATGCACCATTTAAATTTCTCGGTCGTAAGATTGATAATATAGGCTGTACTCCATCTTTAGAAGGAATAGTAGATAGCTTCTTGAACGATCTTAACAAGGTAGATAGCCAACTGATAAGTAACGTCAAAAAAGCGTGGATCTACGAGAATTACTTAACTTCACGTTTGAATTGGCCTTTCCTCGTCTATGATTTTAATAAAACCCTTTTGTCAAAGTTAGATGCAGGCGTCATAAAGATGTTGAAGTTGTGGCTCGGGCTCGCTCTAACGGCTGATTCATCGGCGTTATTTAGGGGAAGCAATAGTTTTGGGATGAGTCTAAAAAGGCCATCGGAGCTCTATAAACACCTAAGAGTTTCCAAGAGATATATCCTGGGGAAATCCCATGATGACATAGTGACATCGCTCCCAAAAGATGAAGATGCCCCCGAGCTAGAGTCACGACTTCAATTCAATTCCATAAGCAATTTATGATAGGAGCACAAAGTAACAGAGCGGGGTTAGGATCAAATAGGAAAGTCCAAGATGCGGATATATTGAAGTCTTTTATTCGGCAAGACGAGAATGATAAATGTAAGATTCATGCAATGAATTTAGAAATGCAGAACGAGTGGTTAGACATAGGAGATTTTTGCATCCCATTAGCATTAAAATGGCGCACTTTAATTTATGTTTGGTCGCCAGCATTGCTAAAATTCTATCTCAATGCGTTCCAGATGACTCTCCCAGATCAGAGTAATTTAGTAAGATGGGGTAAAAGTACCGACAAAACTTGCTATATCTGTGGAAAGGCAGTTGGAACTGCTAAGCATCTGCTGGTGGGATGTAAGGTACTCCTGGACAGCGGTCAATACTCGCGTCGTCACGATAGGGTTCTAGAAGTCATACGTGAAGCGGTTAGTCTTTCGGTGGCCAGAGCGCAAAAGGAAATAACCACAAACGAACGATCAGTAGGTTTTGTGAGAGAAGGCACTAGGGCTACAAAATCAAACGTCAAGCCTTACTCCATCCTTAAAGCGGCAACGGATTGGACTATAATGATGGACACGTATGAAAAGCAATATAAAATCCCCGAGGATATTTGTGCGTCGGCCTCCAGACCGGATATATTTTTGTTTTCGCGAATTTTAAAGCGCGTAGTGATGATAGAGCTTACGGTCCCTTGGGAAACCAACATCCCCAAAGACCATACCCCCAAGGTCAACAAATATTACGAGCTCACAAACGAACTCACTCGAAATAGGTTCGTAGTAGATTTGTACGCGGTAGAGGTGGGAGCGAGAGGTATAACAGCGAAATCTCTCTACAACCTACTAAAGGGCTTGGGCTTGTCCAGAACTCACATTAATGCATTCTTGGATCGTATATCGAAGGCAGCCCTAGTAGGTTCTTTTCAAATTTGGTTAGGTAGGGAGAGGAGCTTGGACAGTGGAGGTGAGCGTATAACGCGCGTTAGTTAAGGGGCCCCTTAAACCTACACTTGGGTCGCAAGTCCCAGGCACTGTTGAAGCTCCTCTCCCTGCAACGCGATGGATCCGGCACCCGCACGGTGAATCCATGGAATGCTTAGTAGTTTCGTCTCGTCTATGAACGACGACGCACCAGGAGAAGTAATGACAAGTTCTCTTCTTGGTAAGAGTTTCGTTATATGTTATACAATTTAAAATGAACCACACATTACAGTATTTGGAGTTTATATTAATATACATAAATATATGTAATTATATTTTTCAGTTTAGTCAATGAAGAAGGCTTCAAACATCAAATGTACGCCATGTACTCCACGCCGACATGCTACCTGCAGACGACGCAGCAGGAGAAGTAATGACAAGTTGTCTTCTTGGTAACAGTTTCGTTATATGTTATACAATTTAAAATGAACCACACATTACAATATTTGGAGTTTATATTAATATACATAAATATATGTAATTATATATATATATATTAATTATATTTTTCAGTTTAGTCAATGAAGAAGGCTTCAAACATCAAATGTACGCCATGTACTCCACGCCGACATGCTACCTGCAGACGACGCACCAGGAGAAGTAATGACAAGTTGTCTTCTTGGTAAGAGTTTCGTTATATGTTATACAATTTAAAATGAACCACACATTACAATATTTGGAGTTTATATTAATATACATAAATATATGTTATTATATATATATTAATTATATTTTTCAGTTTTGTCAATGAAGAAGGCTTCAAACATCAAATGTACGCCATGTACTCCACGCCGACATGCTACCTGCAGACGACGCACCAGGAGAAGTAATGACAAGTTGTCTTCTTGGTAACAGTTTCGTTATATGTTATACAATTTAAAATGAACCACACATTACAATACTTGGAGTTTATATTAATATACATAAATATATGTTATTATATATATATTAATTATATTTTTCAGTTTTGTCAATGAAGAAGGCTTCAAACATCAAATGTACGCCATGTACTCCACGCCGACATGCTACCTGCAGACGACGCACCAGGAGAAGTAATGACAAGTTGTCTTCTTGGTAACAGTTTCGTTATATGTTATACAATTTAAAATGAACCACACATTACAATATTTGGAGTTTATATTAATATACATAAATATATGTAATTATATTTTTCAGTTTTGTCAATGAAGAAGGCTTCAAACATCAAATGTACGCCATGTACTCCACGCCGACATGCTACCTGCAGACGACGCACCAGGAGAAGTAATGACAAGTTGTCTTCTTGGTAACAGTTTCGTTATATGTTATACAATTTAAAATGAACCACACATTACAATATTTGGAGTTTATATTAATATACATAAATATATGTAATTATATTTTTCAGTTTTGTCAATGAAGAAGGCTTCAAACATCAAATGTACGCCATGTACTCCACGCCGACATGCTACCTGCAGACGACGCACCAGGAGAAGTAATGACAAGTTGTCTTCTTGGTAACAGTTTCGTTATATGTTATACAATTTAAAATGAACCACACATTACAATATTTGGAGTTTATATTAATATACATAAATATATGTAATTATATTTTTCAGTTTTGTCAATGAAGAAGGCTTCAAACATCAAATGTACGCCATGTACTCCACGCCGACATGCTACCTGCAGACGACGCACCAGGAGAAGTAATGACAAGTTGTCTTCTTGGTAACAGTTTCGTTATATGTTATACAATTTAAAATGAACCACACATTACAATATTTGGAGTTTATATTAATATACATAAATATATGTTATTATATATATATTAATTATATTTTTCAGTTTTGTCAATGAAGAAGGCTTCAAACATCAAATGTACGCCATGTACTCCACGCCGACATGCTACCTGCAGACGACGCACCAGGAGAAGTAATGACAAGTTGTCTTCTTGGTAACAGTTTCGTTATATGTTATACAATTTAAAATGAACCACACATTACAATATTTGGAGTTTATATTAATATACATAAATATATGTTATTATATATATATTAATTATATTTTTCAGTTTTGTCAATGAAGAAGGCTTCAAACATCAAATGTACGCCATGTACTCCACGCCGACATGCTACCTGCAGACGACGCACCAGGAGAAGTAATGACAAGTTGTCTTCTTGGTAACAGTTTCGTTATATGTTATACAATTTAAAATGAACCACACATTACAATATTTGGAGTTTATATTAATATACATAAATATATGTTATTATATATATATTAATTATATTTTTCAGTTTTGTCAATGAAGAAGGCTTCAAACATCAAATGTACGCCATGTACTCCACGCCGACATGCTACCTGCAGACGACGCACCAGGAGAAGTAATGACAAGTTGTCTTCTTGGTAACAGTTTCGTTATATGTTATACAATTTAAAATGAACCACACATTACAATATTTGGAGTTTATATTAATATACATAAATATATGTTATTATATATATATTAATTATATTTTTCTGTTTTGTCAATGAAGAAGGCTTCAAACATCAAATGTACGCCATGTACTCCACGCCGACATGCTACCTGCAGACGACGCACCAGGAGAAGTAATGACAAGTTCTCTTCTTGGTAAGAGTTTCGTTATATGTTATACAATTTAAAATGAACCACACATTACAATATTTGGAGTTTATATTAATATACATAAATATATGTTATTATATATATATATTAATTATATTTTTCAGTTTTGTCAATGAAGAAGGCTTCAAACATCAAATGTACGCCATGTACTCCACGCCGACATGCTACCTGCAGACGACGCACCAGGAGAAGTAATGACAAGTTGTCTTCTTGGTAAGAGTTTCGTTATATGTTATACAATTTAAAATGAACCACACATTACAATATTTGGAGTTTATAGTAATATACATAAATATATGTTATTATATATATATTAATTATATTTTTCAGTTTTGTCAATGAAGAAGGCTTCAAACATCAAATGTACGCCATGTACTCCACGCCGACATGCGACCTGCAGACGACGCATCAGGAGAAGTAATGACAAGTTGTCTTCTTGGTAACAGTTTCGTTATATGTTATACAATTTAAAATGAACCACACATTACAATATTTGGAGTTTATATTAATATACATAAATATATGTAATTATATTTTTCAGTTTTGTCAATGAAGAAGGCTTCAAACATCAAATGTACGCCATGTACTCCACGCCGACATGCTACCTGCAGACGACGCACCAGGAGAAGTAATGACAAGTTGTCTTCTTGGTAACAGTTTCGTTATATGTTATACAATTTAAAATGAACCACACATTACAATATTTGGAGTTTATATTAATATACATAAATATATGTTATTATATATATATTAATTATATTTTTCTGTTTTGTCAATGAAGAAGGCTTCAAACATCAAATGTACGCCATGTACTCCACGCCGACATGCTACCTGCAGACGACGCACCAGGAGAAGTAATGACAAGTTGTCTTCTTGGTAACAGTTTCGTTATATGTTATACAATTTAAAATGAACCACACATTACAATATTTGGAGTTTATATTAATATACATAAATATATGTTATTATATATATATTAATTATATTTTTCAGTTTTGTCAATGAAGAAGGCTTCAAACATCAAATGTACGCCATGTACTCCACGCCGACATGCTACCTGCAGACGACGCACCAGGAGAAGTAATGACAAGTTGTCTTCTTGGTAACAGTTTCGTTATATGTTATACAATTTAAAATGAACCACACATTACAATATTTGGAGTTTATATTAATATACATAAATATATGTTATTATATATATATTAATTATATTTTTCAGTTTTGTCAATGAAGAAGGCTTCAAACATCAAATGTACGCCATGTACTCCACGCCGACATGCTACCTGCAGACGACGCACCAGGAGAAGTAATGACAAGTTGTCTTCTTGGTAACAGTTTCGTTATATGTTATACAATTTAAAATGAACCACACATTACAATATTTGGAGTTTATATTAATATACATAAATATATGTTATTATATATATATTAATTATATTTTTCAGTTTTGTCAATGAAGAAGGCTTCAAACATCAAATGTACGCCATGTACTCCACGCCGACATGCTACCTGCAGACGACGCACCAGGAGAAGTAATGACAAGTTGTCTTCTTGGTAACAGTTTCGTTATATGTTATACAATTTAAAATGAACCACACATTACAATAATTGGAGTTTATATTATTATACATAAATATATGTTATTATATATATATTAATTATATTTTTCAGTTTTGTCAATGAAGAAGGCTTCAAACATCAAATGTACGCCATGTACTCCACGCCGACATGCTACCTGCAGACGACGCACCAGGAGAAGTAATGACAAGTTGTCTTCTTGGTAACAGTTTCGTTATATGTTATACAATTTAAAATGAACCACACATTACAATATTTGGAGTTTATATTAATATACATAAATATATGTTATTATATATATATTAATTATATTTTTCAGTTTTGTCAATGAAGAAGGCTTCAAACATCAAATGTACGCCATGTACTCCACGCCGACATGCTACCTGCAGACGACGCACCAGGAGAAGTAATGACAAGTTGTCTTCTTGGTAACAGTTTCGTTATATGTTATACAATTTAAAATGAACCACACATTACAATATTTGGAGTTTATATTAATATACATAAATATATGTTATTATATATATATTAATTATATTTTTCTGTTTTGTCAATGAAGAAGGCTTCAAACATCAAATGTACGCCATGTACTCCACGCCGACATGCTACCTGCAGACGACGCACCAGGAGAAGTAATGACAAGTTGTCTTCTTGGTAACAGTTTCGTTATATGTTATACAATTTAAAATGAACCACACATTACAATATTTGGAGTTTATATTAATATACATAAATATATGTAATTATATTTTTCAGTTTTGTCAATGAAGAAGGCTTCAAACATCAAATGTACGCCATGTACTCCACGCCGACATGCTACCTGCAGACGACGCACCAGGAGAAGTAATGACAAGTTGTCTTCTTGGTAACAGTTTCGTTATATGTTATACAATTTAAAATGAACCACACATTACAATATTTGGAGTTTATATTAATATACATAAATATATGTAATTATA